GATATTTGATCATTATTTATGGTCAAAGGTTTGTCAAGTATAGATACTATGCAGGTATGGGACTGTACGGATCATTAACAATAAGAATAAGTTACGTATGGAAAATTACATAATGTAAACATAAAGGAAAAAGTAATGTCACATAGTTATAGAGAACTATGGTGATGTTTTTATAAGTCTTCCGCTTACTTTTAATTAAGTACGCAATGTTGATATTACCATATTGCATGTTAACAAACCGGATGCACACGGGGCGTTACACCCTTCTATTATAGACATATTTCTCAGCATTAACACAAACAAAATGAAATAGTTTGTGCGTGAATGATCGATACCTTCTTCAGCATCAAGGTCAACTGGATCACCGGTGATGTCCTTGGATAGAGGTTGGGAACCGCACGTAACTGCACAGAGGCAATAATCGCAAACATGAATCGAATGAAAGAATGGGAAATGGAAAAAATTGGAGTATAGAGTGACTTATATGCTTGGAGGATATAGTACTTGGTAATGGGGGAGGAGCAAGACTTGCTAGGGTTTGTGAACTTTCCGAGCATTCTCTGCGAGACGTTCTCAATCTTCTCTTCTTCGTTGAACTCGAAGACGTCGAATTTTTTCGTTGCGAAATAATGGAACAGAGAAAAAATGAAATGGATGGAACAGGGAAAATTATGAAAATGTTCTGGTAATGTTGTTGATATAATGAAGCGAGGCTCCTTACAATTAAGATAACAGAGTAGTGACACCTTGTAAAAGACTCTGAAATACAACACAGACTCACCAGAGGTCCACCACTCGATCATCTATATTTCACCCTTTAATTCATTACATTTTTCCTACCATTTCCACACTACCTTCCCACCATAAATCCCCACCCATACTGCCCTTTAACCGTTCACACTCTCTCACACACCTCTAACTAACTCCATGTTCTCCCTCCACGCACAGAATATGATCTCCTTCACTTAACAACACATTTGCCACATCATCCCCTTCCATATCAAGTCTTGGGCCATCTCTTGTATTTTCTTCAAGTTGCATTGGGCCAACATCTCTCCTTATGATTGGGTCAGCATCTCTCCCTTTTCCCCTTCTACTATAGTCATATTTCTCAGCCTCAACAAAAAAACAATGAGGAGTTTATGCATGAATGATCGATACCTTCTTCAGCATCAAGGTCAATTGGATCATCGGTATCGTCCTTGGATAGAGGTTGGGAACCGCACACAACTGCTGAGAAGCAACAATCTCAAACTGGAATCGAATGAAAGAATGGGAAAAGGGAAAAAGTGGAGTATGGAGTGACTTATATGCTTGAAGGAAATAGTACTTGGTAATGGTGGAGGAGCGAGACTTGCTAGGGTTTGTGAACTTGCTGAGCATCTTTTACGAGACCTTCTCGATCTTCTCTTCTTTTTTGAACTTGAAGACGTCGAATTTTTTTGTTGCGAAATGATGGAACAGAGAAAAAAAATGAAATGGATGGAAAGGGGGAAATTAAGAAAACGTTTTGGTATATGTTGCTAATGTAATGGAGCAATGCTCCTTACAATTGAGGAAATTAAATAACAGAGTAGTGACACCTTGTAGAAGACATTGAAAAACAACAAAGACTCCCCAAAGGTCGACCATTGGATCCTTTATATTCCACCCACTAATTTATTGCATTCATCCTGCCCTTTCCACATTGCCTTCCCACTATAAATCCCGATACCTATTGACCCTTAACTGTTCACACTCTCTCACACACTTCTAACTAACCTCATGCTCTCCCTCCACGCACTGAATGTGATCTCCTTCACTCAGCAGCACATTTGCCATATCATCCCCTTCCACATAAGGTCTTGGGTTATCCTCTCCAAGTTGCATTGGACCTTCTGATATTATTGGGCCATCATTTCTCCCTATGATTGGGTCAACATCTCTCCCTTTCCCCCTTCTACTGTAGACATATTTCTTAGCCTCAACGCAAAAATGATGATACTATTTGTGCATGAATGATTTATACTTTCTTCAGCATAAAGTTCAATTGGATCATCAGTAACGTTCTTGGACAGAGATTGTGAACTATGCGCAACTGCAAAGGGGCAACAATCTCAAACAAGAATCGAAATGAAAGAAAGAGAAATGAAAAAAAAAAAGGTAGAGTATGTAAGTCACTCCATACTCCACCAAGTATTCAGCGCTTTTCTTTTTCATACTTATGTATAAAATATTTAACATCTCGAAATTATCATAACATATTCATCTTGTGGCAACGGGTGAGGGTTGGGGGCTATTGATGGCTTTGGTCTATACAAAGATGATATTTAATATTTAATTAATATTTATTTTTCATTCAGTTTTTATATAAAAAAATTTATATGTTATAGTAGATAATGATACCTTGCACGGTAGAGGTGAAAATTACTTGATAAATTAATAGTAACATTTTATATTGCCTTCATTGTCAAAGAACTTAATATCATGTTTTCTTTTGGTTTTTATTGGTTTCCTCATCCCATCATGTTTTTGTATATATGAAAATTTAATGGGTTAAATGTCTCTCATATTATAGAAGATAAAATTATCTTCTACAAATATATAAAAATATATAGAGCCCATAATTTTTCTCTCTTCTCTTTACATGGCTCACATATTTTTATATGTATATAAGAGATAATTTTATCTCTTTGTAACATGAAAAACATCTAACCCAAATTTTATTATCTTTAACTATATATTTATGTATTGTCTTTAAGCAGATTGACATGATGGCTGATTAACTTGTTTTCATGGTCATTATGAAATTATAGATTAAAGAAAGTAAATGGCTTTTCAAATGCTTTCTGAATTACTTTGAGACAGACAAAAATGTAGTGAATGTTTTCTTTGATATACTTTATTCTTATTTCATAGTCGTATTGACTATACATTCCAAAAGGAGTTTTACACCATTTTATTTTTCGGTAGTTGAGTTTTACACCATTTAGGTACTTCATAATTGGATCTGAATTTTTTGGTAAGATCTCAATTTATTCTTTATTCGATTCATGCGAGAGCTTTCGGTCGAAACTTGATTCCTCTAAGCTGAACAAACTTCTTACTGAGACTAGCTCATAAGAGGTGCGGCCGAAGGTGCTGTTAAACAATATTTAGAACTTGTTTGTTTGGCCTTTTAAAAAAATAACTTTTATGTCTTGTTTATTTTAAAATTATTTTTTACAAAAGTTAAATTTATTTATATTTTTTAAAAAATAATTGGCTTTTGAAAAAATATTTTGCTTTTTATTTCTATATTTTTTTAAAAGCTGAAATATTTAACTTTAAAAAAAAATAGGTTTTCAATTTTTTTTATGAATTCTATTTTTTTAAAACTAGATATTCAAACGAATTTATAATTAAAAGTATTTTTTTATAAAAAAAACTTGTCCAATCGAGGCCTTAACCATCCTAAGCAAAAGACCTTCCGCTGCGGGTGGTTTTGATATCAGGAACAAAGCTTTAGAGACACAACCTCACATTTTAGTGAGTATGCCTCATGTCATTTTGTTTATTTTTCTGATTTGACAAATGATTTAGTGTTAATAGCAATGTAATTGTTTTCAAGGTAGTTACGGTTTTGAACGTATTTAAATAATTATTTGATAAAATAAGAACAAATTAAGATATAGTTTAAAAAAAATGATGGATTAATTTATAATTTGAGAAAAAAGATAAAATGATAAATTAATTAGAAAATAGGGATAAAATGTTCGATCAACCCTAAAATTTGAATATAAAAATTATTTATATTCTAGCGTTAGTTGATCTTGATCATGGCCCGTTCACAAATTAATGAGCAATAAAAAAAGGTTTTATAAGAGTTATGTTGTAGAAAAAGTGATTGTGTAATGCTATAGAGATTCGTTTTGCGTGCTGTAATTTCTTTTTTTTCTTTTTTCTTCAAAAAGTGTGAGCTCCACAACATATTGTGTGTGTAAGAAAGTTTGTTGTGTCATGTTAAATGACAAATGCAAACCCCTTAAAAAAAATATAATTTAGTTGATAACAAAAACACGCTAAACTAAACCAAAGGCCTCTGGTGGGGTGGGGTGGGGCTGCAAATAGGGGTGTAAATGGGCTGGGCTTTGGCCATCCTGGCCCAAGCCTACGTCAAAAAAAATTCAGCCTATCTGGCCTACTGGCCTATTAAAGACTTTATTTGTAGGCCAAGTCCGGCCCATTTTAAAAAATAAGAAAGCCTGACATGGCCTACAGGTCTTGTTGGCCTCCCACTATATATATTAAGCAAAAAAAATAATTATATAAAGCAAAGAAAGTTCCATTCATGCATACACTAGTACTTCTCATAAGAAAAAAATGACAAATAAGAAAGAGTCAACATAATACCTCAGCTCTAGAATGTATATCATAGAGGAATAGAGTCAAAGAAATAGGAAAAATAAGAAAAATACAATTACTGGATGCTGAAATAAAGTCTACAAGAGAATGTCATTCATCTAAAAATCTTTAAACCACCGTCAAGACAAGGGAAAGAAGATTATTATTGAAAGATCTTCATCAGTAATATCATAATTCAGCAAGGTACCCATTGCTCCATGGTATTAAGTTGCAACGGCATGTAAAATTTTGAGACATTAGACAAGTTTTCCTTTCATAAAATAAAATAGCACAAAAAGTAAGAGATATTGGTATTTGGTACTTTGTGTCTTTGTCACATAAAATAAATATTATTTTATTATTTTATTTTAATAAATTAAATAGGTCAGCCTACAAGGCTCTAGGCCGGGCTTGATAAAATTAGTCTATGGCCTATTTATTAAAAAAACTTTTTTATAAGTCTAAGCCTACTCTACTTTATTGAAAGGCCGAGCCTGGACTGAACTGGGCCAGCCTGACAGTTGACACCCCTAGGTGCACGCGCTTAGCACGTGATCTTCTTTATTAGTTAGTTCTCTTCATCCTTCAACATCGAGCTCATCTTCCCCACCACTAATACCACTACCATCCCACGCACTGCCTCTTTTTCCTGCATTTTCGCTCCGAGAAAATCTTTCCCTTTTCTCGGGAAAATTTTTATTATAAAAAATTTTGAAAGCTCAAATTTCGCCGTTCCCTTTCCATTTCAACCACACACATACACACTCTTACACGATTTGCATTCTTCTGCACTCAAATTCAATCATTGTATCCTTATAATCAAACGTAGCTGACTTCCCAATTTCTCGGAATTCTCGCTGCGCAAAATCGCGTTGTTTTTCAAGCTCAATTTCGGATCTTCTTGTGTGATAATCAATCCTGCTCCTGGATCTCAATTCGAATCCAAATGCATGGGTATAGCCGCCTAGGAGGAGCAGCACGTTCTCAAAATTCGCCACCGTCATCACCACGGTTCCGCCATGGCCGGAGCAAGAGTAGCAAAGGTTCATTGAAGGAGAATAATTCAATGGAGAAGTTGTTGTTTGTTATCATGTCAACGGTTTTCAGAAGGCGAGGCTTGCTTTTGTTCGCGCCATTGTTGTATATTTCGGGGATGTTGTTGTATATGGGTTCGCTGAGCTTCGATAATGTGAGTATAAAGAATGGTGTTGTTGTTTTACGCAAGCGTGCTCCTCCGGGTTCTGTTTATAGGAGTCCTCAGGTCTTTGAAAAACTATGGCCTTTCATGGAGGCTGACACTGCCAATGGAACTGTCAATGTGGTACTCAATCTTTCTTTCTTTTTGGGGAACTTTTATTTTAGCTTCCACGTTTAGTGCAGTTTGCCTTTTGTTACTTCAATCAATGTTTGAAAATGAAAACGACTGCAATTGTCAATAACACTTGTTTTTTTTAGTTGTCTTACCAATTGTTTATATGAAATTGAATTTAAACTGCTTGCCAGGACTCTATGCATCGGTTTAAAAGGCATTTGAGATATGGCTCTGCTCTAGTACTTTCATTGATAAACAATCAGTTATTGAATAAATTTTCTGTCATCGTAATTTCATAGTTTGACATCCATTTGTTATTAGACTGCTTGTGACATTTAGTGATGACTAGAATTGATTGACTGAAAATCTGAGATGGAAATCATGCAGTTGATGGAAGCATGGAATATAAAGGAGCATAGAGAGTGGAAGCCTTGTGCTAACAAAAGTGTTCCTGAAACAGGTCTTTGCTTTTTTAGAAGAGAAATCATCAAGTTCTGAAAATTTGTTTTTTAGTTGCTTGTTGCATAGATTTTCAACTTTTTTTAGTCAAATATAATTCTTCGGCATAGTGGCTTTCCCATTCTATTTATTTTCAAGTGCACTCTTTGATCAGGAATCTTGATTATTTTATCTTGTGTCCTTGTTATCTTTGTTAAAGGAATTAGCTAACTTTTTCTTGTTCCTTTTTTTCCCTAATTTTTTTTTTATTTTTTAGAATTGCCAAAGTCAAATGGGTTCCTTATAATTGAAGCAAACGGTGGATTGAATCAGCAACGCTTGTCGGTATGCTTATTGATAAGACCAAATATTTCATTTTTACTGGTTTGTTTATTTGGAAGTCTTACATCACGTCTGGTACATACTACATAGGAATAGTGATTACATTCCATGTAATGAGGGATTCTCAGATTTTTTTTGCAAAAAAAAGACATGTAATGCAAATTCAATTAGAGGCCTTATTCCACATAGTCATGAATGAAGCATGGAATTCCAGTCCCTCCTAGAGAGGTGGGATTGGGATTTCATGCTCTATGAAATCGGAAAACCAAAAACCCTCATACATTTTTACAAAATGTCTACTGTTACCCTTACTAAAATTTTACACACTTCATTTTTCTTCTCACAAATAATACAACATAGCTCTTGTTTTTTGTGCAATGGTTTTTCTTATCAAGTGATGTAAAGAACTAATTCAACCCAAAAGCTAAACATATTACGTGAAGGCCAATTAATGGTTTTATATTATATTTCTCTAACACGCACTTTCACACGAAAGACCATTGGTTTTGAAAGGTGAACAATGCATCAAGTCTTGCCTACTGGTGCTAAGAAACTCCACAATATTTAATTATTATTTTTAATAGAATGGGGGCGGTGATGATCGAACCTGTAGCCACTTGGTCATAGAGGTTTTGATACAATGTAAAAAACCAATTCAACCCAAAAGCTTAAACTATTAGGTGAAGGGCAATTAATGTTTTTATATTATATTTCTCTAACAAGTAAATAAATAAATATATAAACTTGACATTACTCTCGAGACTCTTCATTCATATTACATATATAAGATAAACACAAGAAAAGACTTTGTTTTTCTCATGAGGGGCATGTAAGTTATTTAGATTAACTTGGATTCCATGTACCGAACATTCCTATTGCTACCAAACTAGACTGGTAATGGCCATTCCATTCTCATTACAAGGAATCACCATTCCATGTATGAAATGTGCCATTAAGATTGAAGTCCCTTATGAATGGGTGGAAGGAAACTTGAAATAATATAGGTAGGAGGGATTGGGATGCTGTTAATGGTGATTTTCTACAACCATTATTTGTTTTTAAAAACAGATGCCTAATGAATTCTATCCAGAGCTTGCTTTATGATGTTTGTGAATATTTTTCTCCAGTTGTTGTTGTTGTATAATTTTGCTCTGAATGGAAGTATGGTGGTAGACTGTCAGGCATATATGCTTAATGAAATTAGATGAAGGACATCGATGCTGTGGATTGCTGTCCACAAGGCATCATATGTCCAGACTCCAGATTGTTCTGGCACTTACTATACTACTCTTTATACAGATATGTGATGCAGTTGCTGTGGCTGGACTATTAAATGCAACTCTTGTTATTCCAATATTTCATTTAAATAGTGTATGGCGAGACTCAAGGTAATTTCTTTTGTTATGCTTAATTTAAAAATTGGTAACGTAATTATGGTGTTTGTTTAATTTATTCATGTTTAATGTCTGTCAGATCCCATTGCTGTAACTCTGACTTTTTTATTATTATTATTTTTAATTTTTTTTTTTCAACTGTATCGTTCACATATTAGGAGTCTGAATATGAAAAATGGATCATATTTCATCATTCTAGTTCCTTTAGGTCCACCATTTATATGGCTCACATGCAGGATAGGTCAGATAGGATCTCAGCTCAGAAAGGTTAAAGGGTATGAGGATGGAATGTCATCTTTTATTTTGATTTCGTTTTAGATAAAAATCTTTAGAATGGACTTCAAATTTTAGGATTGTAATGTATGCATAGGAAGGCAAATCTTTCACAATTTATCAGTTTTGAGGTTAGATACTATGTATAGCATCCTTCTGTTTTCCACAATACATGATTTCAGCATTCTTACTTATGACCTCCATTCTCTATAATTTATCTCTGCAGACAAATTGATAAGTTTTGGAAATGAAAATAGATAGGCAGTGCATAAATCTCAGTTTGAGTTTTGGGTCTTCTGCTTTTTTATGTTTCTAATACCATGTATGTTGAAAATGGTAGTAGCAACATTCACTTGCATATTTTAAACTTCAGAAATTATCTTAAACTTACTACTACAGATGCCAGACTCATAAGTAACAGTCACAAATGTTGAATTGAGAGTCTATACATTAGTTACCACAGGCTTATCAGAGTGAATTTAAAGGAACTACTTTTGATAGATTGGTTTGACTCCTTCTTGTTCTTGGGTATAACTGAGACATCTGACGTGCAACATTGGTTAAGTTTTGTATATATAGAACATAGAGTATTTGCTCATTGAACCCTTTGGATTTTATAATTACCTATATGGAAGTTTTCTTTTCATATATATTTCTTTTTTCTTGTTGTTCAATTAAAGTTCATGGAAGGGTCATTTTCTAATCCATGCAAATACTTTGCAACCTTGTTTATGTATTAATAAATTAGAAAATTTACATATGCTGCGTCTTATTATCTGGCAGCAACTTTGGTGACATTTTCGATGAAAATTTCTTCATACAAACACTTGGAAATCGTTTGCGTGTGGTAAGAGAACTCCCAGATGACATACTTCAACAGTTTGACAATAACATAAGTAACATTGTCAATCTTAGAGTAAAAGCTTGGTCTAGTTCAGCTCACTATCTTCAGAAGGTCCTTCCTCAGCTTTTGGAAATGAGGTGTGTGCCTTTCTATCTTCTGTTTCCTCACCAGCAGTTGGCTTCCACTTCTGGCTTGAAAGTCGTTTCAGCTGTATTAAATTGTATTATCTTTTCAACTAACAATTAATCTTAATAGTAATTACATATTTTCCAAATGCTAAAGACGTAAAATGATATGCCATAATGACTTTTAAAATGGAAGTTAGAAATATATATTATATATCAGCAACTCAAAAATGATTTGCATCACATGTCTGGCAGCTTGGGTTTCCCTGAATATAATATAATCTCTCCATTCACTGATGTTTTGATAGCTGAATGTGACTTTTTAAATTGGATTAGTCATAACTTGGGAACAAGGAGTCTACATTCCATTAACATAAATAAAATCCTTATAATAAAAAACAGCTCAAGGAATGGACTTAACAATCCATAGCCTGTACATAGACACAATACCTGATTTTAGGTCCCAAACAAGTGACAGAAAATTACTAAAGTATCCCTGTTGACTTAGTTAGCTGTCTATAGTTCTACTACTTTACTGACTTTTAATACTTACTATATTTTACTAACATGCTGTACACAACCCATTCTTACAGTATAAATAAGAAAGAGACGTAAGGGACAATACACTTATGTATTCGCACAATGAAGGTTTCTCTCTATGCTCTAATGTCAATTCTTTAACTAGATGTGCTTGAATTGTGCTATAACTTTGTTCTTTGTTATCTAAATCTTTCTCTAGTTTGATGAATATTTTGCTGTCACACAACAATATTATTCTGAGTACTTGGTGATAATCTCTTTGCTGTATTAAAGTGAACCACAGCTGACCAATCTAACCCAACAATGATGATCAGTTTGTTTTTTAAATCTCCTCAAAACCTAACCAAACCAAGCCATGAACACTCTATATTGTACTAACCTGCTGTACCCAGCTCATTTGTACAGTATAAATAATAGAGAGACGTAAGGAACAATGTAGTTGCATAAAAAGAGTTTCTCTCTAGGTCCTTTTTTTTAAAAAAATATCTGACTTAAAATATTACTGCATGCCCCCAATACCAAATTTATACCTAATAAGTGAGACCTTTTGTTTGTACGGTGTGTACCTCTTGATCATTATATCGGAGTATATAACTACAGGAAGAAAATATGGTAGTGTTTACCCTTTGTGTGTCAACCTAAGATGCACAAGCACACCAAATTGTTGCTTTTGTCTATGTAAAGAACCAATTTAACCCAAAAGCTTAAGCTATTGGGTGAGGTTATATTAATGGTTTTTATATATCTCAACACGTTCCCTCACACGAGAGCCCACTGGGCTTGAAGGGTGGACAATGCACAGGCCCACCTACCTGTGCGAACAAAGAAATTCCACTTGAAAGAAAGTGAGGGGCGGCGAGGATCGAACCCGGGACACGAGGCTCTGTTACCATGTAAAGAACCTTGGGATACACCACCCCAAAAGCTAGCTCAAAGGGTGGGAGTGCCCAAGGCCTTATAAACTCCACATTAGTTGCTCATACAACCAATGTGAGACTATATATCTCAACATGCCCCCTCACACAAGAGCCCATTGGGCTTGAAGAGAGGATGATGCAACAGGCCCAGCCTACCTGTGCTAAGAAATTGCACAAGAGAAAGTGGGCGGCTGAGCTAGCTTTTGGGGTGGTATATCCCAAGGTTCTTTACAGTCTATATTGTACACAATCAAATACATGGACAAGGCTCCTCTAAAATTAGCTTGTTTCTAAAAAGAGCAAGTAAGGGTGTATCCACCCTTGATGTAATTTAAAATGATTTGTGATCTTAACCCACTAGAACTTAAGGGTGGATACACCCTTACTTGCTCACTTTTGAGACAAACTCACTTTAGAGAAGTTTTTTCCCAGATAAACATGCATGGTAATGCTTCTCTCATATTTTCTTTCTGAAATTTTATTTTATAAAAAGATTTCTCAATGTTCTGCAGAAAACTGTCAAAAACAGATTTGAAATGCAAGGTTGTTGACTTGCAATACATATTGTGTATTGTTTGGCTATTTTTGTATCATGTATTGTTAATCGTAAGGTTCAGAAATATATTAAAAAAATAATGTTAAAATATAAATTATTATAGAAATCGCAATCTAAGCCTTCAATTTCTCTCCTTTTGTTTGTATTATAGCTCTTTGAAAACTTCTCTAAGAGATTATGTTTTCTTGTGCTTAAGTCTCTGCTTTTTTTAATTTGTATGAGTTTTTTTTTTTTTTAAGATTGAAGAGATGTGTATTAATTTGAATATTTGTTTGATTTTTTCCCTAATTAATAGTTAGTTTCCTTTCCCTAATTAACAATGACCTTTCTACATTTTTTTTAATTGAAAATCGCAAATCATTGTTTGATTTTCGAATCTTAATTTGTGATACGATACATAGATTCGATATTGAATCATACGATACAGCAATTCACAGTCCGATACAAGACCAATTCTGATACAGGCAAGCAATTCACAGTCTGATACAAGACCAATTCTGATATTGGCAACCGATTCATATCGTTCAACTTCTGTATTGAATCATATCACGCGATACGTATCATGCATCGTGCGATACTATAAACTATGTCAAAATGCATGAATTGTTTTTCAAAACATGTAAAAATGCTTATAATGAAGAGAAATGTTTCTGTTGAGATATATAAAACCATTAATGTAGCCTCACCCAACAGCTTAAGCTTTTGGGTTGAATTGGTTCTTTACATGGTATCAGAGTCTCGTGTCCCGGATTCGATTCTCACTGCCTCCCACTTTCTTTTTAGTGGAATTTCTTTCTTCGCACAGGTAGATGGGCCTGTGCATTGTCCACCCTTCAAGCCCAGTGGGCTCTCGTGTGAGGGGGCGTGTTGAGATAAATAAAACCATTAATGTAGCCTCATCCAACAGCTTAAGCTTTTGGGTTGAATTGGTTCTTTACAGTTTCAAAATACAGAAAAATGACTCTGAATCATGCCCAAACATGATAAAATAGGCAAATTCATCTGTTACCCAGCAAAAGAATTAAATTTGTTTAATTTTAGTACCTTGTAATAGGAATATATATAATATGTTTTGTTTTAATATTTTTATACCATTGACTTGCTAAATTTTTCAAACATTTGCTTTATCCTTGTATTATATTCTGTTGGAGATGATACTCCCACCGTGCTTCTTAGGTATCAACCCTTAATTTTTCCAGTAGAGTCTTCACAAACGATATCATTGGTCTTGTCATCTGCATTTACATCAGTAATCTGTTTTCACACATCCTGCTTCCTCTCTTTTCTCATGTGGAAATCCTCATTTGTCGCATCCTACATCCTAAATGAAAGCTTCTTCTGCCTCTGATATGCACTCATAACCACATTCTGTACACTTTGGCCACTTCAAGTTACTTCCAAATTAAGGCCACCAAAGTTTTAGGATTAGTTTTTTTGCTGGTGGTGACAGTTTACTGTACTACATGTATCCATTTATGGAGCATCCCTCCAATCTATCCAAGCTTTGAACAAGTGGAAATCAGCATCTGTAGGAAACTTGCTGGGCCTGATTGTTTGATCAAAGGAGCAGCAGAACTGCTCAACCATGTTAAAGGTATCAATGAATCCATGCTACATGACTTTTGGCAGAATGCAATGGAGCCATTTGATCCATGTAGTTAGCCCGATCTGGTGGGAAATGGCTTTTTTTGTTGTTATTACACCTCTATCTGAAAACAGATAGGCTTATGGGTCAGATTTTGTTGACTTTGTTTAGATAAGTTGGCATGGGCTCAAAGTAAACAAAAACACTGACATATACACATTTACAATATGAAAGTAGAAATTCAGTAGGATAATATATACGTAAATGACTGTGTAGGTGATTTGAATTTAAAACCTTAAATGCCTGAAAAGTCATGAATTGATTGTTAGTTTTGTGATGATCCCCTGCTGACAAGATCCCCCCACCCCCTTCCTTCCCCCCTTTCTCCTGGGTTTGGAAGAAAAAAGTAGTCATTCTACTGAATTTGTTGTGGTCCTGTATTATTATTACTATTATTCCTCTATTTTCTTACAATCATGTTTGGGCCACATAATCTATGGCTCCTAAGAGGACTTTGCACATACTTGTTGCAGGGCTGTTCGCATTGCACCGTTCTCCAACAGATTAGCTCAGGCAGTACCCTCAAAAATTCAGGGGCTTAGGTGCTTTGCCAATTTTGGAGCTCTTAGATTTTCAGAAACTATAAGAACACTTGCAGAAATTATGGTTGATCGGATGGTTAAACATAGCTCCCAAAGTGACGGGAAGTATGTTTCAGTGCATCTTCGTTTTGAGGAGGTGTTGTTCTAATATCTATGTACTTATATATGTTAGATTTACTAGATACATTATTGATGCAGAATGGATAAGTATAATTTAGGATAATTTATGTTAATTTTATTTATGATAATTTTGGGATTTTACGTTATCTCTGGATAAATTATTTTATTTTAGCTTTAGTATTTGATTAGAGTTCGACTACATGTCTACTGTATGATTATAGCTTATAAATATCCAATTGAGTGCTTTATATTGGTATCATTTGCAAACTATTAATAAACAGACCATTGTCAATTTTAGAGTTTCCTATGTTTTAGTTGCTTGGTTCTGCATCAATTGATATTCAGAGCTTACTTCTGCAAATTCAAACAAACCTTTGTGCCTGAAGCCTTTTCTCTGCCAATTTTCTGTAAGTTGAGCAAAGTTTCCGTGTGCCATGAATACACACAACAGACTTGTTGATATTACCAACAATCTTTTCTTCCTCCACTTATTGCTAAGCTCAGATCAAGAGCAACAAAAATCGCACCCATCTCTGCTTCTGTCATTGAAGGCTGCTGAAATCAGCCCATGTAGAGCTTTTAAAACTTCTAGATCTTCTATTAAATCTCTCTAGGGCGGCGTTCAATGAAAAAAGACAATAAAATCAGATTCAGGAGGCCCTTACACACCAGTGACACCACCACATACTGGAGTAGTTGCTGGTGGATTTGCTGTTCTGGGCAATAGATAATCCTGCATGAGGCTTCTGTACTGCTCTCTGTAAATTGCCGATGAATATAATATTCTTCTTGTTGAACCTCTTGGAATAGTACAAGAGTTTTACCTCTCCAGAGTAGAGTTTCCCCAAAGGGGTTCATTGATGTAGATGGATAAGCATAATTTAGGATAAAGGTTATCGTTATTTTTAATAATTTAATGAATTGACCTTACATCTAGATAAGTTATTTGATGGGAGTTGATTACATGTTTACTGTATGATTATAAATACCCATTGTTTGCTTTTTGTTGGTATCTTTTGCAAATAATTAATAAATAGGCTATTGTCAATTTTTGTGAGTATCTTGTCTGTTTTGGTTCCTTAGTTTTACATCTGTTATATATTATAATTAATAGTTTTTCTCTGTATAAAGGATATGGTTGCATTTTCATGCTGTGAGTATGACGGTGGGGACGAGGAGAAACATGAAATGGATATTGCTCGTGAAAGGAGTTGGCGAGGTAAATTCAGAAGAAGGCACAGGATAATAAAGCCTGGTGCAAATCGGGTGGATGGAAGATGCCCATTGACTCCATTGGAGGTTTGCGGATACACATTATTTTCCTTCCTTTCTTGTCCCTTCATTGTTTTCAATTTCTCTTCCTCATATTTGGGCTATAATATGTTCTCTGAAAAAAAAAGTTAATTTTGGGAATTATTTGTTGCTTGTGCTTTTGGTGTATCTATTATGCTCCTTTTATCTTTTTCTATGATAAGAAAGAATTAAGGACATTTTTGGTGCTCAGAATCTTAAGTATTATGTTGCAACATTTTCCAAAATGATTAGATACCCAGGTATAGTAGATTCCCAATTGATCTGTAAATAGGATTCCTCTGTTTTAAATATTCTCTATTTTTCTTTTCTAAAAATATAAATCAGATGCTGGCAGCTGTGAGGGCAGTAGTGGTGACAGCAGTAGGACATGAAACTAGATATCCCATGGTTTTCAATGGGAACTTTTTTTTTTTTTTTGGTACTTTTTTATTCCTTGCTAATTTAGGATTCCTAATATTCGAATTTGAAATGTTATGTGATACTTAGCAATCATAGATTCCCATGATTGGGTTTACTGGAAATTCATTGAAACAGAAAATAGATACAAAAATTGAGCTTGGGATATATTCAAATGCAAAATTAAAATAGAAAATTACAAAAAAAACGCAATCTTTTAACAAAGTGACAATAAGAATTTCCTGCATCATTCTGAATACCCACAAGTGAAATCCCATTTGACTTATTGCACTTGTTATCAATTATCTGTTTTTGGGTGTTTCGTGAGTGTTTTTGGCAAAATAGCCAGGTTGGGTCTTAAAGTAAGAATAATATTTGTGTCATGGTTCTGATTTTCGCAGCTCATTTTATTTGATGTTGTAGGTAGGAATGATGCTTAGAGGCATGGGTTTTGATAATACGACCTCAGTATATGTTGCAGCAGGAAAGATTTATAAAGAACAGAAGTACATGGCACCACTTAAACAGATGTTTCCACGATTACAAACCAAGAATACACTGGCAACTACTGAAGAGCTTTCTCAATTTATGGTAATTAAGAAGTGATCTATGCTTATTTATTTAAAACAAGAAAAATCCTTTTAATACAAAAAATAAAAGAAAAATCCTTTTTATTATTTATAGAAAAGGAAGGCGATTCAAGGAAAAAGCAAATTTCTGTAACTCTCATGTTTATGATGTAGGGCCACTCATCTAGGTTGGCTGCTCTTGATTATACCGTTTGCCTTCATAGTGAAGTATTTGTTACAACTCAGGGTGGAAATTTTCCACACTTCTTGATGGGTCACAGAAGATATATGTATGGTGGGCATTCAAAGACAGTTAAACCTGATAAGAGAAAATTGGCTCTTTTATATGATAATCCTAATATAAGGTACGACTTTGGCTCTCTTTCTTGGTTTGTATGTGTTTTTGCAGTTGCTTTTTGCTCCAAGTAATAAAATATTTGTTTAGAAGATGAAGTTTATTTGTCTAGAAGACTGTTATCCTACTAAGAGAATAATTAGCTCTAGTATTCGAAAAATTAGCTTCTGCACTCATTATAAAATTTATGAGTTAATATTTACTGACTTTGCAGATGGGAAGTATTCAAGCAACAAATGAAAGATATGCTTCACCATAGTGATCAAAAGGGAACTGAGTTAAAAAAGGCTGGTGGTTCTCTATATACTTTTCCTATGCCAGATTGCATGTGTAAACAGGCAGAACCCAAAAATGAAAATGGTAGTAACACTAGGAATATATAAAGCTATAGATGTAAAAGTATTCTCTTTAGGAAATCAAATTGTTCAATACCTGTAATTTATTTTTGTATCATTAAGTGTGAATTCAAAAAGAAAAATTGTTTGATTCAAACTTGAAAAAAGCAATAAATTAAGGCTTCAATTTCTTATTTATTTTAATTATTTACTAGAGAAAATTAGTTGTGAAATCATAATTCATTGTACATAAGATTATTGTAATCCGATACAGACTTGCACCCGATTATCATGATTCATTTTTGGATGACTGGTAATCTTTGTGTGACAACTATTTACTAAACCAAGCTGTTCATTTAGCATGTGATAAATAATATAACATTTGGTTGCAATTTGGTAGCCTAGACGGATCTTTAACTATATTTCACGTGCAGAATTAGAAATATTACTATTATTTTTGTATTGTAAAATAGTTCCTTTTCATTGAAGAAGCATTTTTGTGTTTTTGTTGAGCAGTGACATTTTACCTTGTAGCGGTTCTTGTTCATTTACTATCAAAGTGTTGGTACAAATAAGAAGGCCGAAATTGTGGTAGCGTGAAACCTTTTTAATCCACATGTTATACCTTTTACGTGTCTTGTGTAATTTACACTTCTACATAATTAGTAATTGATAAAACAATATATGAAACTTGAGTCGAGGGAGAACATTCCCCACTAGAGAAGCAGTCTAGGTTATTTATTAAGGGAGTAATCTGCCAAGAACACTCTTGGTTTGTCTTATCAATCAGGGAAATTCCTTCGACTCTCCAGCACCACCGTTTTGGCTTTTGTATTCTCAATTCTCAAGGTTGACAGTTGACTTTTAACGTTGACCAAAATTGTCTTTGACTAGGACAACTATTCCTAGCTTATTGGGCCTCTACTTTGTAATTTAGAGCCTCTCTATCATGGTTTTTTTTTTTATTATTTTCATTTCGGCCTCTTAAATGTTTTAACTTTGAAATTCGAGGGAGGATATTCTTACTACTAAAATTTTTTACTATTAACTTACTACCTATCTAATCACCATTAAATCAAATAGAGAGAATGTTAAAAAGTTTTTGAAAAGAGAGAAAATATCGATCCAATGGTGATTAGATTGGTAGTGAGTTGGTAGTAGAAAATTTTGGTAGTAAGAATATTATTTTCATTTCGGCCTCTTAAATGTTTTAACTTTGAAATTCGAGGGAGGATATTCTTACTACTAAATTTTTTTACTATTAACTTAGTACCTATCTAATCACCATTGAATCAAATAGAGAGAATGTTAAAAAGTTTTTGAAAAGAGAGAAAATATTGATCCAATGGTGATTAGATAGGTAGTGAGTTGGTAGTAGAAAATTTTGGTAGTAAGAATATCCATCCTCTTGAAATTCATATAATATTCTTATCATATAAGACACCTAAAGATATTTGTAACCTAAAAAGCAGTGTTATTAAACCTGATCCGGGCATAGACTCGGTCGGGATACTGGGTCACTGGTCGGACTTGTGGATCACCGGTCGGACCGGTTGACCCGGATATATATAAATATATAAAATATATATATATATATATATATATATATATGAACATATAAATTTAATTATATTCTCTATATCTAAAATGAATTAAATAAAGTTCACTAAATAAGCTCAAAAACATGAAGCATAAATAAATAAAAATGCACGCTATTACTATGTCAATTTAAATTTCAACTCAAAATTTCCATAAACATACTTCTCAATAAAAATTGAACTCATATTTTTCAAATTCAACTATATTAAAATGACATATGTCACATTCTCTTAATTTATTATTCAACAAATTGTTTCAGTATTGGAAGCTGAAATTTGTGGTCATTGTAAAAGAGTATATTAGCAAATAAAATTACAAAAAAAAATTAAAATGAGTTCTACATTTTTTAATGAAAAGATGAAACAATTTTGATTTTTTAATTTTTTTTTTTTTTTTTTTGTTAAATGCATGACCCGACCGGGTTAAGGGTCACTGGTTTTGACCGGGTTTGGCCGAGTTTTGACTGAGTTTGATCGGGTCGATGCATTACCGATCCAATGCTTAACCCGAACCAGTCCAATGACCGGTTCACCGGGTTCCGGGTCGACCCGGCCGGATCGGGCCGGGTTTTACAACAGTGCTAAAAAGAATGTTAAAAATATTTAAAACTACTAATTAAATACATAATAAAAATATAAATTTTCTTAAACTGGATATCTTATTAAAGCTAAAATCTCTAAAAACAAGCAAAGATTAATATCCTAAATAACATAATTGTTATAAAGCCTACAGATCAAAAATAACAAATAATCACAATATGTAACAACAAATACAGCATCAGAAAGCATCAAAAAAGACAAAGAAAGAAATGTTTTCACTTTTTATTCAACAAAAACGATTATCACAGTAGAATATACAGGATTGAGGGCCAATTTGCAGTTTAGGCAGAAGAGTCATTCGGTCTAATTCGAGTTTGAAAGCAGTTGACTTATATACCAAAAAAAGAAGGGGGGGAAAAAGGCAATTCGGTTATTAGGTTAAAAGCGATCGTGTTTAAGATACTTTAGTAACGACTTGTAGAAGAATGATTGCTTGAATGCGTTGGTTTAATTCATGGGTATAAATCTACTTGAAAAAGTAAATACAAAAGATAAAATTGTTAAAAAAAAAAAGTATAGAAATATTCAAAGCAACTAAAATTGTAGTTTGAATTTTGACTTTAACTATTTGAAGGTAACCGCAACAAGTTGTTTATAATCTCAACGTATTAATTTATCAGTAAAGGGAAAATGTGTAAATATGTTAAGATTAACTTTCTTTCTTTCTTTTTATGTATTCAAACATTTCTCTTTATGCTTTTTAGAAAAGGTAGCTCCCAGGTTCAAACCTGACACGCTGACCATCTTTGTAATCAAAGAAAAAAATATATAAAATCAAGAAAGAAGCAGTATATTATCAAAGCAACCATAAATTCTAGTATCTCTACATCAGTCAAGGTCCGGAATGAAAACCTTTACATGCAAGAAAAACGTGAAACATAGTGAAGAGGCCATTACTATATCTTGGCACTAGCCAGACCTGAATGACATTGCTCGCCTGAAGTCCAAAGGTTTGAGAGCTGACTGGGGAAATGGCTTTCCATCTGGTAACCACAAGCCACCTTCATGAGGTAGCACCACCTGTGGTTGCCCTTCAACAGCCTCCTTTGATGGAACTTCTTGCTTTTTCTTCACAAATTCAAAAAACTCTGCAACTTGGCGTGCATATCTGCACCATAAGCAAAACAAAAAATCACCATGCATTAGGAATCAAGAGATTATTATTTTAATGCAGTATATTCTTGTTGATAAGTCTCTCACCAATGGATTTCTAAAAACTAGCATAGTAGCACCCTTAGAATTTTACTGATTAAAGAGAACTTGGTTACCTAGGTATCTATTTCCAGATTATATTAATTACTGAAGATGTAACATTTCACTCACTAAATCCACTATAAAGAACCAGTGAAAACTCAAGTTAAGGATTTGCATGTGCAGAATGACATTAAATTAGAAGTACAAAATTTGTAAAGATAGCAATTAAGATTAATATTCATTGAAGTAATTTGTATTCATGGTAATTTGTACAAGTTCATATCAAAATTATATTCATTGAAGTGCAATTAAAATTGTTAACATTATTTATATAAATGGTAATTTGTACGAGTTTGGATACAAATCCATGACTCTAGAAGTGTAATGGATCCCAAAACTGTAATATTTAGCTATATTTTGAAGTAATACAATGTCTAATTTCATGTAACATAAAAACATGCTCCTTGCACAACTAAGGCACCCATTGCATCATACCAATACAGTCCAGGAGTCCATTCAGCCTAAGCACACCTAATACACTTCACACATGCCACATTGGTTTCTCAAGCTGACTGACACGTTGGACACAAAAATACAAAACACCAGAATAGTCACATACCAATTAATCGCTAAATTTGTTTTACATATAGCCCACTTTCTTAATTGTGTATGCATGTGTGTCCTAAACAACATTTTAATCCTATTATAATCTTAGGGAGAATTACAAAACAAGCAGTATGTGCAATATTTTAAAGTTTAGATGCATGTAAAATAAAACTAATGCTTTACTTTTCCCCTTCATGCCTCTAATTCAATGGCAGTGGAAACAAAAAGCCAATCACCTCCTACTCACCAAGTTCAACAACTTATGAAAAACAATAAACAGACCTTTTTATTGGGGGGAAATGAGCGTAGCCATCAAATTGCAATTTGATTATTTTAACAAAAAAACAAGACAAGAAAAACCACAAGTCTGATATGGTTTGATGAACAATAATATCAGTATTAACAATCTGGATCAATCACTAGTGTCGCACAGTGATACAAACTTAGGGAGAACCACACCACAAAAGCTAGCCATTGTGTTGGGAAAGCCCAACTCCATATAAACCCTACATTGGAATCCCATACCTCGGATATGGGACTCAAGTCCCATATCTTACAGTTGGAACCTAATATTCCAACAGGCTCCATAGCCCTAGCGGCCATTAAGCCTGGCTGTGCATTAGTCCCTTGACTAGTCCCAGGCAAAGACAACAATGACAGTTCACTTTACAACAGAGAGACATGGGGAAGGCTCTAATACCAAATAATCTGAACCTTGGGAGAACCACACCACAAAAGCTAGCCATTGTAGAGGGAAAGCCCAAGTCCATATAACACCTAAATTGGAATCCCATACTTCAGATGTGGGATTCTAAGTCCCATACCTTATAATTGGAAACCTTACATACAACTAGTACAAGCATAGCTCAATAACAATCCTGCCATAATAAAACTCCAAGGACAAAAAAAATCATAATATTCTAACATGGACAAAAAGGCATCAAATGGAACGAAAGTTTACTCCATGTTACGGAAATGTAAACAAACATCTGAGTAAGAAATAGTTATCTTACTGCCTCTTTGCTTCAACATCTTTGCTGAAATCAATATTGGGTTCACAGTCCAGAACCAGTGCAGGAACCTGCTTGTAATTAAAATGATTAAGCCAGTCTATTATAACAAATCATAAATTCAGACATGGGATTTCCAAAAATGGTACCTTCTGAATGCTTGAATGCATGTGATCACCCTCCAGATAAAATACACGGTCTCTTATATTAGGATGTAAAGAGTTGTCAACATGCTGGGGTAGCTTATTGACCAAAAATACTCCATGATTACCACTTTGGGAGGGGAATAACCAGCTTTCATGCTTTTCATGGAGGTCACGGAGATAGTCTAGGGAAACTCCACCTTCTTCTGTTCTCTTCCTCAACTTCATTCTCTTATGGCAAGTATCAGGACTTGCCCTAAGATAGATAAAACCATCAGGAATAAGTCCAGGCAAGGAGGATACAACAGGATCAAACCATGAGTCATAAATACTGATCTCCATCTCATTCATCCAATTGGCTTCATGAACAGCTCGTACAAAAACCTTTGTTGAACAGTGAGATAAAATATATAAGCCTTTACACTCTCAAAACAGGATTTCCTTCCTCTCAAATCGACTCAAACAGGAAAAGGAAAGAACTGCACAATTTCAAACCCATCAATTGCTATCATTTTCTAACTGAAAACACATTCAAAGAAGACGCTGTATTGATATGTGAAAAAAAAAAGTGACCTAACACCCTCCCTCCAAAACCAAAGACAAAGAATAAAACTGAAGGACCATCAAAAGAAGAACAAGAAAAAAAAGACTGAAGGGTGAAATACTCACCATCCTGTCACTGAAAACACTCCTCTCCATCAAACGAAGAGGCTTGATTCCACCAGATGACTCTCTTTCCTGCATCACCCGTGTAACAAATACATAGTTCTGAAAGGTGTAGGCATACCTTTGTGGTTCAGCATAAAAAGCATCCAAAATATTGAAGTGGTCAGGTCCAACATCCTGCCACTTGCTAATAGGTTCCGGAACCACCTCGACAAGATCACGCAATTCAATTGTTTCATTAGCTATTCTCTGAAGGAAGGTAGTCTTACCAACACTGATATTACCCTCAACACAGAATGTAAGTCGTTTCTTCTGAAGAGGCTGCACAGATGAGGAATTATCTTCCAACTCTTCATCCACACTCTTTTTAATAAAACTAGTTATACTTTCAGCATGGTTCTTGTGGATTATTCCAACAGAACTCTGTAAATACTCAACCATCTTGTCACTAGATTTGCCAAAGAACTGTAGCAATTGAACCATCAAAACAAAGAAAGTTATCAAAAATTCAGTATAATCCAAAAAACATCCTCTCTCTCTCTCTCTCTCCTTTTTTTCTGATATCAAATCAACTTGAATGGATAGCCTAGCCTTAAAATATTGTAAGAACTTGTGGCAGTTAACTAGTAATATTTATAATGGAGCAATAGTGAACAAACATTTACAGACCGTGGCATGTGTAACTCACATTATTCCTATAAATTGACTAAATTCAGCTGGAACATACTCATCAAAGCTAAATTCAGAAAAGAAAAAAAAAACCCTAAACCCTAAATGGAGCATAGTAAAGGTAAGAAACAAACAAAATTTTAAAAGAGAGAGATACCTTATCTTTGTAGAGTTGCTTGAGTTCAGCAACACCAGCAATACCTTTCTGAACGAGTTTTCTGAGATTTCTGGGACCTACACCAGGAATGGCCAACAAATCAGGATTTGATGGTATGGGAGAGGAAGAAGAAGAAGAAGAAGAACCCTTTTGCCTCCTATTTAATCTGAAGCTCAAGGGTTTCTTCTCCTTTGTGTCGTTGCTCTCTACACAATCATCGTTTGTTGTACCCTCAACAGGGTCAGGGTCAGGGTCAGGGTCAGTGTCAGGGTTCGTCTCAGGGTTCGGGTTCGGGTCGGTAAGAAAAGACCCGTCTGAACCCGAATGCAAGGACCCATTTGAAGAGTGCTTAGGGAGAACCCAAGAGGTCCTACTCCTATTGTGGGTTAGACACCTACAAACACAGCAAGTGTTGGAAGAAGGTGTCAAATAGTGAGAAGATAAAGTGGATTTGAGAGTGAAAGGGTTCTTCTTTGTGAGCGAAGAAGCCAGAGATGAACCAGCTACAGGTGCTGCTGCTGCTGCCATTGACCTTGAGGGTGCAAAGTTAGAACCTTTTGAAGGGTTTAGGGGTAAAGAGAGAAAAGGGCTAACCACAGATACAGAGAAGATTGGAACCGAAGAAGAAGTTGGGCGCAGAAGTTTCTGCATAACTTCTTCTATGCATATTTCAGTAAAGTGTGTTGATTTTGCTGTGTGTGGTTTCCGACATTATGAGGATGAGGGCGGGAAGCTGTAACGAAAAGGGTTTTAGGTTTTAGTCTCTCTCTCTCTCTCTCTCTCTCTGACTCTCTGGGAGACACTGTTGCAGAGACTGTATTTAAAATTGAAAAGACATATATCCATTAACGGAATTGTTTTATTATTTTAAAAGAGGAGTGTTACACTATAACCTACAAATTTTACAATCTCTTCGAATCTATTTTTATATTGTTAATTTCCGTTAATTGGACTTTTTATAATTTCGCATGTGAGGAGTTATTTCTTGGTTTTAATAGTTATGACTTATCATGTTATATTTATTATTAATTATTAATTTTCAATAAATTATAATCGTTAGATTATCAAAAACTAACGGTAAAAAAATAAATTATAAAAAATTATAAAACTTTTAAATTATAAGAATAATATTCTCATTTTGAAATTATTATAGGGTTTATTTTTTCTACAATGAATGAATGCAGATAAGATCGTTTTGAGGTAAAAATTAAGATATTTTTATAATAATAATTTATTTCAAGATTATAATAATTTTTATCATTAAAATTTTTTCATTTTTTAACCCAAAATAACTTCGTTTTGAGAAAAAACATAGACAACTTATCTATATTCAATATAAAAATATTAAAGTCGTCATTATATTCTTTTTACAGTTTTCTTGTTTCAAAACAATTTTCCTTATTTTATTTTTTTCCGATTTCATGTTTAGTGAATTCAATATCTTTATAAACATATCACCGTTTTAAGATTTTTTTATTTAATTTAAGGGTTTATCATCTATCATTTAACATGACTACAAAAATTTTCCTACACACACAACATTTTGTGGGGCCCGCAGCAAAAAAAAAAAAAAAAACTTCGGCACGCAAAACGAATCTCTATAACATAACACAATCACTTTTTCTACAACATAACTCTTATAAAACCCTTAATTTAATTATATGAGAAGTTCACATTTTAAACAACTAGTATGTGATCATGCTAGGATATAACGTGATTAAATCAGGATGGACCCATCTTGTGATTATCGGATGTTCTTACGTGGCATCGAACTTCACTTTTTATTTTATTTTTATTTCCTTGTTTTTCTATTCTCATAACTATTAAATAGTGGGTAAGATTATTTAAAAAAAAAAAAAAAAAAGTGGGTAAGATTATAGTTATTATCAACTAAATTAAGCATTTTTTTGCTCCCTCTCTTATGATTATTAGACAGTCGCCACCAAATAGACAGGGAGTAGAGGGAGTGATTAAAGAGAGAAAAGAAGAAATTTATAGAGTAAATACCATTTTTGGTCCTCAGCAAATTTCACGATGCCCGCTTTAGTCCCTAGCAAATAAAAAGGTCCATCGTGGTCCCTAAGAAATTCAAAATGGACCCATTTTAGTCCTTTTAGGGACTAATATGGATCTTTTTTGAATTTGTGAGGGACCACGATTTCAACTAAATGAGTCCATTTTGAATTTCTTAGGGACCACGATGGGCATTTTTATTTGCTAGGGACTAAAACAGGCATCGTGAAATTTGCTGAGGACCAAAAAGGGTATTTACTTAAATTTATATCAAACAATAATCATGCACTTAATCTTAATTTGATGACTATAATTGAGGTAGTAAGAAATGGTAGCCTTTAAGTATGATATCTCCATTAATTTGTATGACAAATAAAAATAATTAAGATAATAAATAATATAATTATTATAATTTTATTTTATTGAGTTAAATAATAATTAATATCACAAATAATTCTTGTTTGTTTCAAATTATTTTTTAATACATCAAATGGTGATAGCTCAGTTGATGCATGGGAGTAGGGATGTAAATGGGCCAGCTGGCCTAGCCCAACCTACGGTCCGGCCTACATTGAGCCTGACCCAGGCCCGGCCTTTCAGAAATGTAGAGTAGGCTAGGTTTATAAAAAAACTTTTTTAACAAATAGGGCATAGGCCAATTTTGTCAAGCCTGGCCTACAGCCTTGTAGGCTGGCCTATTTAATTTATTAAAATAAAATAATAAAATAATATTTATTTTATGTGGCAAAGACGCAAAGTACCAAATACCAATATCTCTTACCTTTTGTGCTATTTTATTTTATGAAAGGAAAACTTGTCTAATGTCTCCAACTTTTACATGTTGTTGCAGCTTAATACCATGGAGCAATGGGTACCTTGCTGGATTATGATGTTACTGATGAAGATCTTTCAATAATACTCTTCTTTCCCTTGTCTTGATGGTGGTTTAAAGATTTTTAGATGAATGACCTTCTCTTGTAGACTTTATTTCAGCATCGAGTAATTGTATTTTTCTTATTTTCCCCATTTCTTTGACTCTATTTATCTATGATATACATTCTAGAGCTGAGGTATTATGTTGACTCTTTCTTGTTTGTCATTTTTTTCTTATGAGAAGTACTATTGCATGCATGAATGGAACTTTTTTTGCTCTATACAATTATTTTTTTTTTGCTTAGTATCTACAGTGGGAGGCCTACAAGGCCTGTAGGCCATGTCAGGCTTTCTTATTTTTGAAAATGAGTCGAGCTTGACCTACAAATAAAGCTTTTAATAGGCTAGTAGGCCAGATAGGCTGAATTTTTTTTACGTAGGCTTGGGCCAGGATGGCCAAAGCCCAGCCCATTTACACCCCTACATGGGAGTTGAGCAGGTGGAGTGAGAGATGTGTTCGATCCTCCCCAATACCATCTTTGAGAGAAGTTTAAAACCTTAATCCTAAATCCGCCCCGAATCAGACTGATCGCGAAGCAATGAATCGATTGGAATATTTATAATAAAAATAAATTAATACATTTAAATTTAAAAAAAACACTAAATTTGAATCAATAATAATTTAATATTTTTTCTAGCAAAATAATTCAAATATTTAATGACAAAATCTCAATATTGTATAATTATATTAAAATATTCAAATAAATAAAATAAAACACGTAAATGTAAATCCTATCAAATATTGATTTATTTAAGGAAAATATGTTTGTTCTTTCAAATGATATAATTTTGTGTCATTTTAGATCTTAAACGTTGATTTTCGTCAATCAACAATGATGATTTATTGGATCAAATTTATTAATTAATTAGTAATTCACAATAAAATCTAATATATCATAACCGTTGATTCTAAAATGAGATAAAATTAGATCCTTTAAAGGGACCAATGTTTTTTAGTTTATTTAAATATAAAATCCTAATTGAATCGTTTATTAAAAATAAAGAAAACTTTACTTTTATTTCATACGATTATTGGGTGTATCACTTTATGTGTAGTGGCTGAAGAAATAATACAGGCGTGTGGATTCAAGGGAGTCAATAATTTAGAGCACTGTTTCGGTGTGATAGAGCATGATTAAGCAAGTTGAAACCTATTTAGTGCCTGTTTGGATGGGTTTCTATTCCTAAAAAAGTTGTTTTTTTTAAAATAAAAGTCTTTTTGAGAATTTTTATATGTTTGAATAACAACTTTTTAAAAAAACAAATTTTAAAATATAAGTTAAAATACTGCTTTTTTTTATAGCCAGTAGTTGGTTGCTTTTGAAAAAAGCAGAAATTAAAAGATAATATAATTTTTTTTTTGGAAAAAAATAATATAAATTTTTAAAATGCACTTTTAACTTTATCCTATCATACCTATTTTATCTCTCCTTATCTTACGATCATGTTATTTTATCTCTCCTTTATTGTAATTTTATATATAAAAAGTGTTTTTTTTTATTTTAACATACAAACAACTTTTTTATGTAAAAGTGATTTAGGGGAATTGTATGACAAAAATATGCGTCAGTATATTCACTATATGTGTGGGTTTGCTCCTCGTAAATTGATTTAGGAGAATTGTATGACAATAGGGATGCTGGTGCATGAACCTTGATTTGATAAATTCATCATAATCTTTGTGATATAGGGATAGACATAGGGTAATTATGGAATCTTTAGATTCTTCTTGTTAATGCATGTTTTCTTGGGGAACAACCGGGAAACTATGATTCTTTTAAGATTACATAGAATTAAGGTAACAAGGGATTGAACCTTAATTACTTTAGAGGGATCGATTGACATTATATTAAGGACGGTTACTTGATTGTTTAATCCATAACATAATAAGGATATTGGGAGAAATTAAAACCTTAACTAAGTTCTTTCTTAATTTTCAAAACTTTCATCTTTTTTTTTTTATAACAAAAACTTTCATCTTTTTACTTTCTTCCTTTTAATTCTGAAATTGAATGTTATTGCTTGTTTTTAATTTTAATTTTTTTCATCTCAAATTCGATTATCCAACTAAATTATTGTTAGCGAACTAGTAATTGAAAATCAATCCACGTGAGAATAATATCGTACTCAGTATACTTTTATTACTTTTAGTACCCATGCACTTAACCAAATCGCAATAATCACATTTGGAAGTCACACCTAAATTGCAGATTGAAAATAACCTTGCACCGGCATTACAATAAACTACATGACCATTAGATAACGGAATAAAAAAATGGGTCCCTCCCTAAGTTGCATCAACGAGCAAAACAAAACTTAAAAAATAAATTTTGACATGGGAATGACAACAAGTAACAACCAATATTTTTCGTCTAAATAAATCTGAGAAAAAATATGTGTCATTTTAAAAGACACAAACTTAGATTCTTTTAAGAGATAAATAAATACAAAAATGTGGAACTCATACTTAAATTTTTTGTCTTTATTTTTTCAGTGGGACCCACACTTTTTTGTGTGTCTCTCTCTCAAAAGAACTTAAGTTTATATCTTTTAAAAAGACATATTTTCTCCATAAACATATCCCCGCTATTCATTTTAGAAGAGCAAGAATGAAGAGGAGGCTAGTGCGAAATGTAGAAGAAAAGAATTCCAATTAAAATTTAACTGATAAGTTTGAAACATTAAGGTAAAATAATAACGAAGGAAAGTGAAATTTCCCTTAAAAAAAGTTAAAGATCTCTTAAATAAATAAAAATAATCTAAAATAACATAATAATTCGTAAA